ATACAATGGACTCCGGACTAGGTGCGTTCCTCTAAGTCTTCCTACCAGTATGACCAAGTTGCGAAAACAACGTCAAACAACCTCTATTGGAGTGACAAATTTGTAAACTTGGTGTGGCTTAAGGGCATGTGTCTAAAATAATTAGTCACCAGGAAAATACTCCTGATGCTTGAGCCAGTGCCACCTGAGGGCCATTCGGATAGGCGTAGTCAGACATGCAGTAAAAAGGTCGGCCGGTATCTCGGGGTTTTGTGGTAGGCTCTCAGACTCTTGACAGGCTGCGAGCAAAATACTATTATCCATCGTCACTTGGACTGGCTGTGGCACTGCCGCAACTGGCAGTGGTAGAGTCGTAGGTGTCGTCAACGGAAGTTGAGTCATTGTACTGGCTGGCAACTGACCAGCGCCTGACCCTGAGGCAGGCTGAGGCGGAAGCAAGTGCTGTTGTCCAGCAGGAGGCGGGTAAACGTGACCTGGGGCATGGGGTAGCTGCTGTTGTTGCTGTAAGTAGCGTTGGGTTTGTAATTGTTGCTGCTGTTGTTGACGTTGGGTCTGTACAAATTGGTTGGGTCCATGAGCACCGGGACCGGCAACCGGGTTGGCTACAGCAGCTTGGCCATCTGGAGCATTATTGACAGCCCCGGTTGTTGTTGATGCCGTTGTAGATGAGGCTGGGTTGGCTGGGGAGTTGGTAGACTGAATAGTGATAACCGGTATCTGAGGCGAAAAGTCCAAAAGAGAGAGAAAATGATAAAGGAAAGAAAATGTATCAAATAGGTTGAGCCTGAATTTTATGAAATAAATTGTAAAATAGACGTGATTTAAATCTTTTCCTCAAAAACTTTTAGTTGAAATCAAGTTTATTTGAACAGTAACGAACCAAGAGATTCCACAAAGTCCAACTTTTTTCGCATATACTACGTACGCATGGTATAAATTCTTATCAGCATTTTTCTGGCTATGCGAAGACCAAGAAGTATATAAAGCTGTTTGACCTTGTTTTCGCAACTTGGTCATATTGGTAGAAAGATTTAGAGGAACGCACCTAGTCCGGAGTCCATTGTATGCATGATGATTTCCAGTCGGACCGTGGACGTAGTACATTTCCAGACGTTTCGCCGGCATCGTCAGTGAGTTTTGCCATTCGTAGCACCATATTACAACTCGTCAAAAAGACAAGTAAAGCCGATCTTAGACCAAACGTGTGCTAAAAAGTTGTGGTATCTCTCCTGTCATGGGCTATTCCCCTCTCCTATATCCTCGTATCACGCCTTTACTATAACAATTTTGTCCTTGCTTATTTAAATCTAGTGTGGCCCGCCCTTTTGAGCGGCTTTCATGAGAACGCTCCACATTTCACGCTGGCATTCTCACTCTCATTCACCCTCGTGCTGGTAATATTGATAAAACTCTCCCATACTGTTACGCAATCCTCCTTCCCTCGGTCATATAGTCTCCCTCTTGCTCCGTCGGATCCGTCTGCTATCTCCCTGGGTCAAGTATTTTACTCGACCCCTGCCACCCCATCTGTGCTACTCGAGGCGTGATGATCTATCTTCTGCGTCTGGGTTAATAATTCGAGGGTAAAGCCTGGAAATAAGTCTCGTGGTCAAGTCTTTGCTACATGGACCACGTCTCTGGTAAAACAGACCTAGTGTCAGCCAACTAGCTCTAGTCTTCGCCGCATCTATCCTGTTTCCATCCCTAATACCAAGTATGTCACTTAATATGTCATAATCTCTTGTGTGTCAACTATTGCTTGAATAGGTTGAACCAAAACGTTTGTCGATTGACAGACGAGAGAGAGTGAAGGTGTGATACGACGATATAGGAGGGGAATAGCCCAGGACAGAAGGTGAGATACCACAACTTTTTAGCACACATTTGGTCAAGGGATTGGCTTCACTTTCCTCTTTGACGAGTTGTTGTGTGGTACTAAGAATGGTAAGACTCACTGACGATGCCGGAATGTACCACGTCCACGGTCCAATTTTGGATATTATCATGCTTACAATGGACTCCGGACTAGGTGCGTTCCTCTAAGTCTTCCTACCAACATGACCAAGTTGCGAAAATAATGTCAAACAACTTCAATTAGGAATTTAAATGAAAATAATTGCAGCTAAAAGTAAAACATTTCATTTTAGTATATAAAAGCGATATTTCTACTTAACTAAATACGGCTATCGTAAGAATAGCACTTTTCTATGCTAAATATTGGATAGAAAATAGGCTAGCTTAGAACATGTGAAAATATC